GATTAAGTTTACCTGAGTCAATCTAATCTGAATATACATGCTATTCATTTATAGCTCCATATGAAAACACTGGACTGTGAACCACAGGGTCCATGGATCAAGCCTGCCAGCTACTCTGTGGGAGAAAAATGAGACTTTCTGCTCCTGCAAATAATTTTAAAAGCCTTGGAAACCCTATACAGGGTTGCTATGAGTTGGAACTGACTTAACAGCACTTAACAACATTCATTTTCTAAATTTCATAATATAGGAGTCCACACTATTACCATGACTGTTTTTATTTTTACTTAAAATTTTTAGTAAATACATTTATTTGCATCCTGGCTCTTTGTTCTGATATTAGCAGCAACCAATTTCCCAGTAATTTCCTTAAAGATGCACAAGCACAATTGTTTCTAATTAACTTAAAAATCTATTATCTGTATGACTAGAATAAAAATAGACTTTCCTATTCAATTTTTTCCCTAAATTTAATTGCTTTTGTTGTTACTGAGAATATACACAGCAACCCACGCAAGTATTCAACAGCTTCTACATGTACAATGTAGGACTCTGATTATAGTCTTCAAGTTGTGCAACTCTTCTCACCCTCCTGTTTTGAGCTGTCTCTCCCTTATTAACATGAACTCATTGAATTGCTTTTATCAGTTTGATCCCACATAGTTCTTAAAAGAGCATGATGCTCAAAACAGACCTCATTTTTACTTACTAAGCTAAACTATTGGTAGCATAGTGCTTATGAGTTGGACTGCTAACCTTAAGGTCAGCAGTTTGAAACTACAAGCTACTCCATGAAAGAAAGAAGAGGCTTTCTGCTCCCATAAAGATTTACAACATCTGAAATCCTATACTATGAGTTGGAACTGACTCCAGGGCATATAACCAACCAACCAACAAAGCTAGTTTATTTAGTTTTTAGTTTAAAGATTCTTATTTAATTTATTTAGTTTTAAAGATTCTTCAAGGAGTATATTTGATTTAAACTTTAAAGTTAATCTCAGGTATAGTTTCAGAAATTCGTTTATCCTCTGTGGCTCCAGAAAGCCGAGTCCATGAAAATGTGAAATTCTGTTCTGCATTTTCCCTCTTTGGATCAAGATTCTTCTATGGAGTCTTGAATCTAAATGTTCAGTAATGGTAGCCAGGTGCCATCTAATCCACGGCAAAGGAAGCTGCTGCTCATGGAGGCAGTTAGCTGCACATTCCATAGCCTCCTCCTATTCCTGACTGTCCTAATTCCTCTGTGAACTCCAGGTCAGTTGTTGTTGCTGTTATCATTAAGTAAAATTGAGTCAGTCCTAACTCACAGAGACCTTGTTTGTGGTTTCCAAGGCTGGTGACTTACTGCTGACCTTTGGGTTAGCAGTCCAGTATTTATCCCACAGTTCCAGAGATCAATTATTATACTTTGCATGACCACATGCAAGCTTTTAAAACCCTAGGTACTACACACCAAACTAGGAACAGGGACAGAAGTACTAAATACCTTAGTAGGTCAGTTAACTGGGATATCCCACAACACCATGAACCTAAACCCGAAGGCCAAGGAACGAGGGAACCAGATCCCTTAAGGAGTTTGTACATCAGCAGTGGCAGCTGCTACTTTTCTTTGTCTTTTGTTGTAAATATATCTATTGCACAACTTTCGCCAATTCAGTGTTTTACAAGTGTACAACTTACTAACAACAATTACAATAATTGTACAAATGTAACCTTGATCAATGAAATTTTCAACAACCATTTACCTTCCTTCCCCCTCTCTTTTACCCCTGATAGCCACGACTAAGCTTTGGTCTCTAATCATTTTCATTTTCTTTTCTTTATAAGTAAGGTCAGACAATAGCTGTCCTTTTGTGATTGACTTATTTCACTCATCATAAGGTCTTCAAGATCCTTCCTTACTGTAGCATGTATTAAGACTTCATTTCTCCTGCAGACTGAGCAGTATTCATTGTATGTTTGAGGATGAGTCAAAAAAGTATTACTACAAAATTATAGGAGCCTTTATTTAAAAAAAAACAACATCAAAATGTGAAGCTATTGTTTCTTGACATATTTTCCATCTCGGTCTATACACTTCTGAAGACAGTGTTTCCATCTCTAACCCTTCCTTGAAGGATTCTATGCTGTTTAATTTATACCATGTCAAAATGGCAGTTTTGACATTCTCCAGGGACATGTTAAATCATGTTCCTTTAAATGTTCTTTGGGTTTTAGCAACAAAAATCTGAAGGGGCAAGATCAGGGCTGAAGAGTAGATGGGGTGAGGTTTCCCAGTGAAATTCACACTGGACAGACAGCCTGCTATCCTGGAAGAAGGAGCAAGTGCATCGTCATGATGGAAACAAGTTCCTTAGCTCAACTTTCCTCACCAATGCACTTTTCAATTTTCTTAAAACTTATTCATTATGAGCCCCCCTGATCACCCTGTGTTCTTAGAGAAATTCTGTAAAGATCACCCCTTGGAAATCTCAAAAAATATTCACCATAACCTTCTGAGCTGACTTCTGTGCCTTGAATTTAACTGGCCAAGTAGATCCCCTTGAAATCCACTGTTTTGACTGAACCTGTTGTTTTTCTGAAGTCACCCTAACTAGACTGAGACAAGTATTTTACTGCAGCCATCCACTGATTGCAGAGACATGTATAAACACGCTTTGTTTGGTATGAACTAATGCATGTTTGAACTGGAACCCCAGTAGCCATACTTTTTGACTTACCCTCCCATGTACCATATTTTGTTTTTTCATTCATCTGTTGATGTTTATGTAGGTTGTTTCCACCTTTTGGTTTATGGTAAATAGTGCTGCAATGAACATTGATGTACAAGTCTATATCTGAGTCTCTGCTTTCAAGTCTTTGGGGGTATATTCCTAGGATATATTGCTGGGTCTTTTTTTTTTTTTAGGAATGGCCACACTGTTTTCCACAATGACTGTACCATTTTGTTTTCTCACCAGCAATGGATAAGGGTTCCAATTTCACCATACCTTCACCAACACATATATATAGCGGTGCAAATTGGGCTGCTAATCTCAAGGTCATCAGTTTGAAGCTACCAGTTCTGTGGGAGAAAGATGAGGCTTTCTGCTTCCATAAAAATTTATAGCCTTGGAAGCCCTATGCAGGGTCACTATGAGTCAGAACTGACTTCACAGCACATAACAACAAATTATATATATATATATATATACATAGCAATCCTAGTAGGAAGGAAATGATTATCACCAGCAGTGGATAAGAGGTCCAGTTTCCGTACATCATCATCAAATCCTCATCAATTTATTTTGTTTTGTTTTGAATTTAGAAATCCTACTAGGAGTAAAATAGTATCTGATCTTACTGAGGTTTCTTATTTGCATCTCTCTGGTGGCTAATGACTATGAGTATCTTTCCATATGTTTGGTGGCAATTTGAATGTCTTCTTTGATAAGATGTCTGAGACCTTCTCACATTTCATGATTGAATTGTCATTGTGTTGTGTAGTAAAAGTTTTATATAGATCTTGGTTAGTAAAATCTTATTGGATATGTGGTTTCCAAAGATATATTCTCCATCAGTAGCTTGCCTTTTCACTTTTTTGGTAGTCTTTTGATGAGCAAAAGTTTTTAATTTTTATAAGGTCCTCTTTACTTATTTTGTGTTTTGCACTTTGTTTTGGATATTAGCTAATCCAGTGTTAAAATGTAGGCCTGGCAGTACTGCTCCTGCTTGTTCTACAGATTTTATGGTTTCAGTTGGCACAAATAGGTCCTTAATCCATGTTGAATTTATTTTGGGTATGGTATATGGGATTGGATTTCCACATCCACAGTATTTTTGTGCATGTGGAAATCCAATTTTCCCAACACCATTCATTAAAGAGGCTTCCCTTTCTCCATTGGATGGGTTGTTACTACATTTTTAACTAGATATTTGCTTTTTATTAAAATATTCAAAAATTTCTAGATTTTATCCAGATATTTCTGTTTCAGTTCTTCTGAGGTCTTATTTATGCAAATGTTTTGCAATCAATTTTTATTTAAAGCTTCCACATGGACTGATATAGAGAGGACATAATGTTGTTAAGATCTGTCAGGTCAGTTCCAATTCATAGTGACCTTGTATAGGGTTCTGGAGGCTATAAATCTTTTGGGGAGCAGAAAATCTTGTCTTTCTCCTGTAGAGCGGCTGGTGGGCTTGAACCGCCGACCTGTGGTTGTCCTAACAGAACCACTGCAGCCTCCAAAGAAAGTATATATCTGTATAGATGTTGTTGTTATTGTTAAGTGCCGTTGAGTCAATTCCAACTCATAGCGACCCTGTATAGGGTTTCTGAGGAGTGGCTGGTGAGCTTGAAACCTTGTGGCTCAAATAACCTTGCAGTTCAGTGCTTATCTTACAGCGCCACACCATATATCCGTATATATCTACTATATATATTTTTTTTCTTGGAAACGCTTTATACTTTTTCACTTTATTTCCACTCATGACTTCTCTAAACTCATATGGATTCTGTTTACATATAAAAGACATGGAGTTTACATCTGAAAATAATGTGAGATTTTGATATTTCCCAGAGGTTGCACATTTTTTTGTTTTATTGTTTTATTCTGTGTATCTCCTTTCTGTAGTTTGCCTTTTGTGTAATTTTTTTAGACTGAAAAATGAGAGATTGCATAAAGGTTTTAGATAAACTGTTACGGCTATTTGTGATGGTCTCTTTTTGTTGTCAAGTAGCCTAATTAAGGTTGTTTGCTTTCTCCTATTGAATGGGCATCTTAGTCCAAAATGCTAAAATGTTTTATGTAACTCTTGAGCCTGTAGTACCCTGATAACCACACAGCCAAGTTGTCATTTAGATAAAGAGAGAAAAGCAGTTGTACCCATGGGCAATTAACTTTTTTATTAATAAGCTGTTAGACAATTAAGGGCAGCTTAGTCAGTCTCTCAAGTGTGGTATTGTACTAAGTCCTGGTAAATAATCTGACTGGTGTGCTGGCTTGTTTTGTTGTTGTCAGGATGCCCATTCCGTCACAGTGATCCAGAGCTGCTGAAGCAGAAGTTGCAGTCATACAAGATCTCTCCTGGAGGAATAACCCAGGTAGGTCAGATTGTGCTTTGCATCCTCAATAATGAGGCGTCAGACAGTTCCTCTCAGTTTCATTTAATGTTCTTGCAAGGATACTACATACACTTGTCAGGCCTCCCACCAGACTTCCTATCTGCTAGATGAATTTTGCTAAAACCTTCGCTCTTCTGGTTTAGACTTCTCAGAAATTCTAGTTTTTCTGTTTGCTAGACTGCATTTTTATTTTCCTTGGTAATTAAATAAGCTAGGACTCCCCCGCCCCCACACACCTTTTTTCATTGTCTCAATTGAGGAGCATCTTTTTAAGATAGAGCAATGTGCAATGAAGCTGACAATTAATGACAGAGTATTTCATTCTGGAAAGTTTTCTATACTGTGATTAGGCTACACAGAAGATAATGTAGTGTGTGCTGGCTGCAAGTTCTTACAGGCTTCAGTTGTTGCTATGTTTAAACTATACTTCTGATGATAGTTCATTAGGGCTAAGGATTTGTCAAAATATTTTGTCTGTGAACTATTAAAATAAAAAAGAAATGCGTAATATTTTAATCTGCTTTTGTTTAAAAATAAATATTTTGACATTGCCTAGATTACTGTCTATGGTGTGCTTTTGAGTTGACTTGGATTTTGAGGGAGTTGAAGAGGACCTTCTGCTTAAGCTTGAGGAAGTTAAACAGGAGTTTCTTCCTTAATAATATTAATACATATTTTAGAGCTTCTTGTTGTTATTATTAAGTGCCATCGAGTCAGTTCCAATCCATAATAACACTATATAGGGTTTCTGAGGAGCAACTGGTGAGTTTGAACTGCTGACCGTGCTGGTCAAACTGATCTTGCAGTTCAGTGTCACACCAGGACTCCCATTTTAGAGTTGGAATATTTAAATCATTTATGTATTCTTTAGCAGCTATTTTCACTTGAGGAAAATAATTACTGAGGAAAACTCTGCTAATAATACTGTGTACAAAAGTTAGGCTGAGTTTACTTAGTTGTGCTCAAATCTTAAATAGCTTCTGTGTACCTGTTCTGGGCACGGCAGTGCTGAAGGTGCTGTTGGGAATAGGAAGACAAATCAGGTCTAAATCTTGTTGCAACAGAACCAGTGTCTGGAGGGAAACAGGAGAGAAGCACAGATAGGATATCTTGGGAATTCTGAAAAGGGAGACACTGTAACCAGCCATTGACACCAAAGAACATCTTGGGAAAGATGCTCTTTGAGTTAAACTTTGAGGAAGGTTTGGAAATCAGGAGCAGAGAGTACATTAATATACAAATTATATAGGATCATTAGATTTATGGAGCACTGGTGGACTGCTAATGACAAGATCAGCAGTTCAAAGCCACCAGCCACTCCATAGGAGAAAAATGAGGATTTCTGCTCCCCTTGGAACCGATTCCATGGTACTTAACAACAACAACAAAGATTTACAGTTGTGGAAATCCTATACATGGTCACTATGGGTCATAACCAGCTCAGTGGCACTTTTTATGATATTAGGGTTTCAGGCCTAGGATAATTAATAGTAACACCAGAATATAAACATTAATAGGCAACTTGAAGTAGTTAGTCTTGGAAATTAGCTTAGAGGTGGGACATATAAATGACACACAGGAAGTGGATTTGTAGCTCATTAGCAAAGTTGAGAGTAGAAATATGTCCTTCTTCTGATGGGAATTATAGGACTGTAGACTTGATGGAGGGAAGAGGTTGTGTCTCAAAATGGAGTCTTGGCTAATGTTTCTTTTTATTAGGCAGTGGAATCAAGTGGAATCAGTTGAAGACTGAGCAGAAATGGTGAGAGAGGGAAGAAATACATAAGAGAAATGAAGTATCAGGAAAGCCGAGGAGAGAATTTTTACATAAGAGAATGGTCCACAAAGTCCTTTGTAGCAAAGTTGTTATGTAAAACAAGTCCTGAGAAAAAGTGATGAAAAAGTTTTGAGTGGTTATACTCAGTGTTGTGAGTGGCAATGTACTGGGGGAAGTTAAAAGCCAGGCTCTACACACTTAATGGGTACATTAATAAAACAGTGGATTGGCTATACAGATAGTGATAATAGGTGATCTTTTCACAAAATATGCTAATAAAGAAAAAGACAGATGGTGATAGTAGCTTAAACATCATCAAGATGGTTTGTGTGTTTAAAGTAGAGGAGACCTGAGCTTGTTTGTAAGAAAGGGAGGAGACAATGGGCTTGATATTGTTATGATAATCTCTTTTCAATCAAGCAGAATTAAACTCTCTTTCCTTTAAACCTGCCATTGTTCCTAATTTGTATTACATTGTTGTTATCAAGTGTTGCAGAGTCTGTTCTAACCCATAGTGACCCTTTATAGGGTTTCCAAGAAGCAGCTGGTGACCTTGAAATGGTGACCTTGTGGTTCTGACTTTGCTGTCTAGTACATTAGCCCACAGCACCACATTAGATGTTAATTATTTGTTTACCTTTGTTTATCTTTCCCATAGTTTGTGAGTTCTCTGAAATGAGGTTTGGGTTCTAATTTAACTTTAAGTCTGCTAGTAATTCAATGATTTACACTTGTCAAGTGTTCAAAAATGTCAAGTTGGAAAAATAAATGGCTATATTTAGGTAGGAGGTAGATCCTAGCATATGGTTAGTGGGGTACAGAGAGAGGCAGATAGGAACCCAGGGACATATATGAAAAGTGTTTATTGAATAAATAAGAATATGTAATTGAATAAAAGGATGGTGACATAGAATGGCATGCCCCTTAGCTAATGGGAAATATAGAGAAGTTTAAGGTAGAGCAAATTAAAATTGATACAATATAGGGATCCCTATAGATGTGCCTTATGTAATTGAAGCAAGTGAGTAATTTCATGGTATTCTTTGGACCTGTATCCTCACCTTATATCTGAAATGAACACAGATGTATAGTGTATGTGGGCAAGCTGTAAATAGTGTTTTGCTTTTGTTTGATGTCTTTATTGAGTGGATCTCAGCAAACTGAAGCAGCTGGTGGGCTGTATTTTAAAGGGCAGAGAGTTGATGAATGAAAAATCCATGTAGGACATTTTGATAAATGGTTATTAGTTGCAGGTTGGCACAAGTGTACAGTTAGATCTTAAAAAATCCAAAGATACATTAAAATGTTTAATAGAAGGTAAAAAAACACACCACTAAAATTCATCAATGTAACTACTTTTTGTTTCAGAGAAAAAATATTTGAAAAAGCTAGCTTTAAAGATAGGAGATGTTTGGATGCCTTAAATAATCAGCATTTTGATAATCAGAAGAGATCCTGTGACCTAGCTGACATAAAATAAATAAATAAATAAAAAGCAAGCTGACTTTTTAAAAGGATACTAAAAGGATTATGTTCATTTCCCTCTTCAATTCAGCCTAAATAGTGTGATAAAATCACTGGATACCAAAATTAGTGAACTTAGTATCCAGTTTTAGAAGACAAATTTGACAATAGAATAAAACAAAAACAACAAAGTAGACAATCTTGCATTTACTTAACAGTTCTTCCCACAAAGAAATAAACACAGGGACCAATTCATCAACAATACAAAAAATTCCAAATGTGTATACACCAACAACTTCAAAATAGATAAGATAAAAAACATAGACAACTAAAAGAAGAAATAGATGAACAATTATATATGGAGACTTTAACACAATTTTCAGTAATTAACAGAATGATCAATAGAAATTAAGCAGAGGTAAACAGTGAAAGCTGTAAGAACTGGAACTCTACCAGATTGCTTCATTTTTCTGGGTTTCGTATGTTTTCTGCCATTGGTACAGATTCAGTATTATCACTTTTGTATTTCTTGTCTTAATGGAAAATATTTGAGTTTTTCTTCTCTGACAGGTTTCTGCCTTACGCAGGAGCTGAATTTTAAAGGTTTTACTGTAGAAGACATAAAAACACTGCCAACCAGTTGACATCTATAGAATATTCTGCCGAAAAACAGTAGAATAAGCCTTTTTTTTTTCTACATGTACATGAAACATTAACCCAGATAGATCATATTCAAGGTCTTTTAAAAAATTATAAATTTATGTGGATTGAAATCATACAAAGTATGAACAAGGTGAGAAAAATAAATAAAAAAGTCATACAGATTGTCAAGAAAAATAGACAACTTTTCTCTGTTCTCAGGCAATGTGATCATCTATGTAGTAGATCTCTAAAGAACCTACATAAGTATTAGTATAAGTAATAGATTTTGCAAATTCACTAAGTCAATATACACAAAATAATCATATTTCTATATACCCATAACGAATATTTGGAAATTAATAAATAAGTACTATATTTATATATATAGAAGGAGCTCTGGTAGCGTAGTGGTTACGAATTGGGCTGCTAATCTAATGGTCAGGAGTTCGAAAATACCAGCTGTTCCACAGGAGAAAGATGAGGCTTTCTGCTCCCGTAAAGATTTACAGTCTCGGAAACCCTGTACAGGGTCGCTATGAGTCAGAACCGACTCCATGGCACATAACAACAACATATATATGTGTGTGTATATA